CCACATCGCGGTTGCGTGCCAGAATCTCTCGATGGCGCTCCCCCAGAAGGCTGTGGCGGAGTGTCATAATAGTATTAAATATGCTCTTCAATATGGTTGTAGAAGTGTCCGATCAGAGTTTATAAAGTGTAACATAGCGCCTCGAAAGTCAATGAAGCAAAGTGACTTTTTTTTGCCCCCCCCCCCTGTATGTCCGCGCTGACAAGTGGCGTGGCCGTCGGGGCGGGGCTCGCAGTGATGTCTGGCGTGATGTGGTTGATGAGTTGCCCGCGATTGGTTGATTTGATTCGAAAAGTGAGGGTGAATTTGGTTTGAAAAGGGGTGAATTTGGTTTGAAAAGGGGTGAATTTGGTTTGAAAAGGGGTGAATTTGGTTTGAAAAGGGGTGAATTTAAAGTGAAAATGGTATATGTAGTAACAAGCGGCCCACATACCGCGCGCCCAGGTCGGCCGTTGGGTTCCGTGTCGACTCCCGGGCCAAAACATTGGCTCTTAGGTCAACACGGCCTTCTATCTTTTGGGCCCGGCAAATTGTTTTTCATTTTGTTAGGAAAGATAAAATATTTTTACATCGGCTGGACCCCGGAAGTCATTATATAGACCATATCGCATTCTATAAGCCAATACAATTCTGAATGGAAGTGCAGTGGGAGCCACATCGTATAAAGGAACTGATCAGCAGCAATGGTTTTATCCTTTTTATCCTTCATTATTCGCTGCTATTTCATATTTCACAATGTCAGTCACAATAATTGTCTTCTTCAGAAAACCAGCTACAATTGTACAGTGCGAAATCTGTGGTGTCTTGTTGAAGCATCCATCGAAGATTGAAGTGAGTGAGGGCTATTCTCATCTACTCAATTTTGAGCTTTTTTATAGTTTACTTCCACCTGCTTATGAGTCATTCCTAATAAAGTTGTCCTCTAAAGCGCTCACGTTTTCAGGCACATATGCGGACTCATACAGGAGAGAAACCGTTTGAATGTAACTTTTGTGGGATGAAGTTCACACAGCGCACTCCGATGCTCAATCATATCCGCAGGCACTTGGGTCAGATGCCATATGCTTGTAACTACGGATGTGGAAGAAAGTTTGTCAACAATGCACAGAGGAACGCTCACGAGCTAAGGCACCTTGGCACGGTTAGCTCCTAAAAATCTCCCACTTTTTTCATCTCGTTCCTGTGGGATAATTGTTTCTGTATCAATGACTGAAGGTATTTCTTACGATTGGTGAGTGGTTGGTTTTGGATGGGCAAAATAATTGTTCGTTTCATTCTCATCATTCCACTGTTCGTTCTGATTTTTTTTCTCTTCAGCTTCTTCTTGATCATTGGGTAATGTATTGTTCACTCTGCGCGATTCTTATGAATCGGAGACAGGCAGATCGTACACTGGAATTCCCCTAAGGAAGGTCGTATCTGGCTGTTCGAGGGACGAGAGGGGGATGATATTTAGCGTGCGCCTCTCGCGTAACTCCTCTCGGTAGTTGATTCTTCCTGTTTCACACTCACTGTCTAAATCAGGAGACTCACATTGGGACGAAGGGTCGTATTTGTTCGCCGCCTTCTTAGAAAACTGGGAAGAAGTGGTAAAAAGTTGGGAGAAGTCAGTAAGATGTGGGTAAGGGGAGTAGGGTAGTGACAGAGGAGGGAATTTCGACGGGTCTATTTTACGGAAATTTGCACTAGCGGCAGGGCATGCCGCTGGGGAAAATTCAGAGAACCGATCTTCCATATCGACCGAACTTGTCAGAAGTTTCTCGCAGTGCGATTTCTCCGATTTCTTTTTCCGCAAGATGCAGACTGTGAACAATGTCCACTAGTGCTGCGAGATAGTTTGCCATATAAAGATGAAATATTTTCAGAAACGAGCAGGTCCTCCTCGTCCTCATCTGAAACCTCCCAAGCGAACTATTTCCAACAAAGTCCCCACGAAATCTGACACAACATCACGACAATCAGAAGAGGAACGTTCCCCAATGGTTGATTTTGCGCCACCCGTTGGTCAGCTTGAACCACCCATCTCCGCCACAGCCAGCAAAAGGTACAGTTTCAGTCTTCAATAACCTTTTGATACTATCAGTCACAGGACCGTCGATTGCCCGAGTTCGCATTGTCAGCTTGTTTCATTTCTCGATTTATGGGACGACTGTTTCTAAACCGCTGATCTGCACAGGAATACTGAGTTGTAAGTAAATAGACCCAGGCTCGCGCTGACCGGGTTTTGTATCTATTACGCCAGTAAGGCTGGTTTTACCATTCTAGCTCAGCGACTTTTGTGCTATAGCCTTACAGCACTCACGCATTTGATGTAGTGAGCCGGTCACAGTGAAACGCGGAGCTGAAATGTCATCACCTTTCAGTTTAGTAAGGCTATGGAACAAAAGGCTGTGGCGCAAAAGCCATTGAGCTGAGAGGGTAGTAGTGGACCCAGTGGCGTAGTGGATAGCGCACTCGCCCGGAAAGCGTGAGGTGCGGGTTCGACTCCCTCCCGAGATCTGACTTTTCACACGACTAAGCGTTATTAAGACTTAAGATAAGTTCGGAGCGCGTTTTGTGCCTTTAGACAGCAGTTATCATACTAAAACAATCTCCGGTCTACTTCGATGTCGCGCTTTAATGCACCGTGCGCAGGAAATCGATTACAAAGCTCTACGAATCTTGTATCTCATTAGTTCTTCAGATTGGATGAAATTATTGAGTCAGTGGTATCCGGCGTTCCTATCAAGAAACGAAAAGTACGGCCAAATCGTGCACCTTTGCTTGTCCAATGCCAAATCTGTGGCCTAATGCTGAAGCATGCCAGCAAAATTCGAGTACGTAGGTGGTGAAATGATTTTAAACGAAAGTTACTCGGAACATAACGTGTCGTAGTGATTCAGGGTGCATTCTACTTAACGTCAGCGTTTTGGGCGTACGGTGGCGTTTGAGCGGCGAGGAAAGGATAGGTATCGATATAACGTTTTAAAGTGATGCTGGCGTACGCCCAGAACGCTAGATCAATAGTCATACTTTCCTAGCATCTCAAAACACTAGTGTACCCTCATAACGCTGACGGAAAGTTTGAATGCACTCTTAGTCTTGCAGTCGGTGCTCAACCGCGATGTCTATATTGCTAAGTAACTAGTGACCTGCTTCAGGCCCATATACGTACTCATACCGGTGACAAGCCGTACGCCTGCATGTATTGCGATGAACATTTTGGCACATCGGGAACGCTGAATATGCATATTAAGAGAAAGCATACATCAGGTGAAGAATTATTCGCTAAATTCCTGATTGCATGGATAAATTAAAATGTTTTGATTCAAGGAGAAAGACCGTATGCCTGCACTTGGGAGTGTGGAAAGAGATTTGTAAGCCTCTCGACGAGAAACGAACATGAAAGCTCCTCGATAGGGTGGCAGCCTTTGCTAACCGTCTCATCTTCGTAAGCCCCGAGAATGTTTGAACACTGTGAACTCTCGCAAGTCGCGGACTACCAAAAGTGCGTTCGCGGCTTGAGCTGTTCAGTCGAAAAAGTAGAACGAGTCACAACGTAGAACGCTCCACGCGTGGTAATTGAACCAGCTGCAACATCTAATTCCATCACACTGAATTTCTTCATGCATCCTTGCTCCTTCACTAGACTTCACATCTAACAATGAGATTTAACCTTCGACTAGTTCGGCGAAAGAATCGTTGTGAAAGGTGTTTTCTTCTTAATCCAACTGAATAGGATGTTGCAGTGGTCCAATAACCAGCGACTGATTGCTCGAGTCGCGAAGTACAAAAGCGTTCTGACCCGGCTGTTTCTACCCAACTAATCACTTCAGCAACCCAAGTTCCAATGTGGGGTCCACCGCGATAGGAAGCAATCGTTC